GGCAGAGGACCCCACGCACCCCGCCCTTGTGGATGATGAAGTCGCGCGCGCCCCGAGGACCTGTTGACCACCAGGGCGCCTCCCACCGGGGACCTGCCGCCTGCCGCGTGATCCTGAGCGACAAGAATGACTGTGCAGAGCTGGAGTGGTCGTCGAGCAGCCCACCCGCACACGGCTGTATCCCCACCGTGGCGTTGCTCGTCATGTTCAGCAAGCGCGGTTTCATGTGGAGGGAGGGGTGCCTCCCCCCCCCCCTCCCCCGTCTCTCTTTCCTAGCCAGCTCTTCGGAGTCCTCCCGATAGGACCAACAAACTCCCCTGAAAATAGGCAACCCCCAGTAAATCGCCACCTCCTCACTCCGTCAGCCGGCTTACAACCGCGCCTGATGTTCGGTGGCCGCCCACTTCGGGTTCGCGCTCGTACAGTCAGAGTCGCCCGCAGAAAAGTAGGAACTAAACTGCCCATACACACTGGTGTGGAGGAGCTGGCTGCATCAAAGCCTCCCCGCTAGGCAACATTTACACAGGCGTGAGTAGTGGTTGCCTAGTAGGCAGGCGTTGATGCAGCAAGCTCCACACCCGCGCGTGTTTCGACTACTTATTGCCTACTTTTCTGGCAACCCCGCCGCGTAACTTACAGTCGCCCCCGGCTCTCAGGCCGGCGGCCAGTGTCCAGGAATACCCCCGCCCTGCATCCGGTGCGAATGCAACAGCAACAGTGATGCGCGCACAATCAGCTGGGTGTTTACACGGCGCACAGGGCGGCGCGGACGCACGGCCGCTGCTGCTCAGGACATCAGCGGCGGCGCTCGGCTCCTCTGCAGGCGTTTCCGTAAACAGTCAAACGCACCCGAAGTGATTGTTTTCGGAAATAGCAGCGGCAGCGCCACGCTGGGCCGCGACGCGCTGCCCTCCAGCCAGCAGCAGCCGGGTGCAGCCGGGCCCGCGGGGAGAGGAGGGAGAGGAGCGGCGGGGCGGGGCGGTCAGAGGGGGCGGCCGGTGACCGCCGTGGCAGTGAAGGGTGCGTCGCACTGCCCCGTCCCGACACTTCTGTTCGTAGACGACCTCCCCGCTTATCTCTCCGAGTCCTGCACGCACAAGACGCCCCTCTCTGTCC